CCAGGAGGTTTCTCTATATTTTTATGTATTTTCGGTAAAAAATAGAGAATCGGTGTTCTGCATGTAGAAGGGACTAAATAATCCCTTTCCTTTTTGTTTAGAAGATCAGACTTGAATGCCTTCTGGATTAATTTATCCAATTCTTTCTTAAATCCATTTAATGGATTTTTATTTAATTTCCTATATGTATCAATAGTCTGAAGTATTCATTTCATTTTCATAATAGGTTTTATCCATAATAACGACTCCCCCTCATTTATCTGCCGGTCTAATAATTATATCCTTTCTGGCCTCTAAATTTTCTATCCCTTTAAATAAAAATCCATTAAGTCGTTAAGTGTTTGTTCTATTCCATAGTCATTAAATCTGTTATAAAACTTCACAAGGTGTGCTGTGGGTTCATTGCTTGTGGTGTGTCACAGAGGTGAAACAGAAGACCCGATCATCCAGCGGCTCCTTCGGGGGTGAGCGCTACAGACGTATTACAAGCCTGTACTGCTGAGAGTACCTCTTTTAATGTGGGATCCTCAGGGGTTTCTGCATAGTTCAGAGGTGACTGCCCACCTAATCCATCCACAGTCCCTCCTACTGCTCCCCCTTCTGCATCTGAGACATCCTCAACAGGCTTACATATTGATTTTCCCCCCATACTTTGCTGCACTTTATTTGTTTGAGAGGAGTCCATACCTGTCGACGATCCTCTGGCAAATTTCTCGAGTTTTGCTGCCACCTCTTTTTGCTTTTCCGTGCTGTTTCTGGCAGATGTCTGGGTGTCGCAGTGCTTGCATTTGGTCTGCTAGTGAAATCAAGGACATATTACAGGATTGTACTGCTGAGAGCACCTCTTTTAATGAGGGATCCTCAGGGGTATCTGCATAGTCCAGAGGTGATTGCCCACATAGTCCACACACAATCCCCCCATCTGCACCTGAGACATCTTCACCAGGCTTACACATTGATTCCACCCACCCCCAGAGGCCCATTTGTGTGAGAGGGGTCCATACCAGTCGATGAAATTCTCCAGTTTTGCTACCACCTCTTTTTGCTTTTCCCTGCCGTTTCTGGCAGATGTCCGGGGGGGGGTGTTTGAGACCAGCACTGTTGCCTCCATCTTGGATATTATCCTTTTTTTTTTAATTTTCTCTGTTTTTGTGTAATGTTTGCACTGCACAGCAAACCCGTCAAACCCAAATAACAGCTTATAGTTGAATCAATCACCGCCAAAGACAGACACCCTTCACTGGCAGTCGGAACCCTCAGCAGAACTCAAGATGACACTCTCCCCTCACCAGATCTCCACATTCAGTCCCCTGTATTATGCTTGCTGGGCATTTATATGATAATTCCCAAGCCAAAAAACTTCCAGAAGGGGAAGTTCCCCAAAAACGCGTTTAGCTAGCAGTAGCGAGACTCTGCGTCCAGCAGAGCTCCTGGACATTTCATCCATCTGCACAGCAGTTCATCCAGTGTGGACTACAAGACCGATGTGAATTTGTTCTTGCTCCATTTGTGAGTATATAGTATTTTAATATCTTTTTCACAAATAAAAGGATTATTGCACCAGGTCAGGCGCCCGGTGTTTTCTTTTCTTTTCTGGGCATTTATATGACAATCTGCCCTGTAGCCTCGCCGTTCAGGCACACTGCATCCTCTTCCACAGCTGACCAGTTGATACCTCCGACCGCACTGCCACAGAGCCCATGCACTTCCTTCTCTCCTCGCCTGTACTAAGTCTCAGTCGTTCAGCGTGCTCCGTCAGCCTGCATCTGAACAGGACTGTTGGGGCTTTTCAGCGGCAGGAAGCAGCTGAGTGGAGCTGCATAACACGCCGGACCTCTCACCTGCACGTCCACTCACATCCTCTCCTTAGCCACACACCCCTATATATAGTGTGTATATATTTATATATATATATAAAGTCCAGTGACACACATGAGTAAAAACTGCCCAAGTGTACTTAAAGCAATTAGATACAAATGATCCAGTGGAAGAGGCCGTCACTAATCTTGTAACAAAGCAACATGATACAGTTATTGGACTAAAATATGCAGGTGCACTTGATATAAGAAAGTTATGCCAAATAGAGATGGGCTGTTGGCCCACCGAGCGCCCCGCAAGGCACTGTGCCTTGTGAGCCCCAGTTGGCTAAACTCCCCCCTGCTGGTTTTTTTGGGGGGGGGGTGTTAGGTTGCTATGGGGCCCTGTGATTTCTAGTTACGCCCCTGGTAGAATTGTTCATCTTTCCACAGACAATATTCTTCCACTAGAAGTCACTCCTGTTCCTAACAGCTTGACAGCAATTTTCATGACTACCCTAAAATGGCTATTGCAATTTACCTCTATGGAATGGCTACTAAAAAGTCAAACACAAGTGCAGTCTGTAGAATTTGTGACAACGAAGAGAGGAAAGTTCTGCAGCTCATTTTAGGAAGAAAGAAATTGGTGTGAGAATATTCTGGAAGAAGGCAGCTGAGAGAGACTTCAGAGAGACAGATCCTGCTGGATTCTTGTGGTCAGATTCTTGCTATTCAGTGCCTAGAGGACAGAGGAGCTGGAGCAGATTTTACCTGCTGTTTGCCTAACAGGACTGAGTAGAACTGATTGCTGGATTGAAAGTGCCACATGTTTCTCAACAAGCAAGTTCTTTCTGCTACAGTGACTTCCATAAGATTTCTAGACTTGCATTATTTTGCTGCAGCACAGAACTACCACATATTCAGCTGTTCATCCCACTAAGAGCTAATGTGAGAGACTGGAATGAGGGCTAGTTCACAGCAGCCCCAGTGCGGTCCAGCACGATTCTGTGCCGAAACGCACTGGATCGCATCCCGGTCAGTGTTCTGGGGCATGAGGGGGCGTGTTGGTGCATGACCCCTGGTTGCAGTGCGATTGCCCACACCGGAACGCGTGGCACATCAATGCCTGCGTTCCGGTCCAGTGCGATCAGAAAAAAAGAGTGCATGTAACATTTTTCTGATAGCAATTAACTTCAATGCACCGCCCAACCCCCTCCCACCCCAGAACGCAGTGAGCTGGCCAGGATGCGGTCCAGTGCGTTCTGGCAGCAAAGCATGCCGGAACACATAGTAGTTACATAGTTACATAGTATTTGAGGTTGAATAAAGACATAAGTCCATCAAGTCACACCGAGGCTGGTGTGAACTAGCCCTGGATAGGAGAGACTATTAGTTACATACAAAGAATAACAGTAGAAAATTGCTTTACAGTAGTCTCTGTTAGATTAAGTGAACTGATAAAGAGAAGAACATCCTTGAAGGCGATTCATCTTAAAGGGACTACGCTTCTGTTATTTCTTTCTGTGTGTAGTATCTTAAAGAGACAGTACACTGGTTCATACGTTGTTACTTTGAAGAGGAGTTTGTTCGCGCACTCGTCCCTGATGTGTTTCATCCCCAAGCCCCTTGATAAAGTTGTTGGGGGCAAAACGCGTCGGGGGTGAGCGCGCACGCTACTTTACCTGTCAAGGATTCGGGTGATGTACCTGATGGTGGGAAGTTAACTTTTGAAAATTGAAGAAGTGGAAAAACTATGCATAGGCTGTAGCTTGCTTTTATGTACAGTGTCGACTTGCATCAGTGGTTATGTAAGTTTTTTAATCATGTTTGCACAATGAAATATCCAAGGATTTTACGCCATGTGCAGTGTTTTTGATTTTTAAACATGTGGAAACTTCTGATGGATATAATAATGGCGAGATGAGAAGATTATCCTCTCAAGGAAAGGAAAAGGAAAAAAACAACAAACCAAAAATTGGTTGGGAAGATTGGGGAATTAAAATGAAGTCCTGACAGAGATTGAAATACCAGAGGAACGGAGGACATAATTAAGGACCGTTTATGTTAACTGGAGGATCTGGTGAGTGGAAAAAAGAGATTGATTGCACGGATTAGAATCAATGGATTCATATTGATTTTTATTTTCATGAACATCAACATTTCTATTTTTATTTTTATGAACTTCAGCATCCTATGATTTTTTTTTGTATTGTTCTATCATATATAAATATAATATAGGAAACAAAGAACGAAAAAGGGCGCCTCCATAGTGTAAAGATTTAATTTAATAATAAAACACGCAGCTCTAGGCTGTACTTACAGAAATTCAATGGAATAAAAGCATGTAGAATTCGATGGGAAATCGAAACCTCTAGCAGGGAGACTCTGGAAAGATGTAATTCACCAGCGTCCTCTGCCCCTATGATTTCAACAGGTTTATGCGTTTCTGGGGCGTGTTTTATTATTAAATTACATTTTTACACTCTTCGTTTCTTAGATTGGCGGTCTATTTGACCTGTGGGAGCTGCCTCTTCTGTGTTAGCATTATTAAGTTGCTGGTCACCTTGAAATTGAAGGCGCCGGTATTTTTTCTAGCTTCGATAAATATAATATATTCTATTTATTAATTTGTCACTAGCACATCCAAAGCGTGGCACATAGACAACACTTTCCACCGCTGATTATTGGGCGGAGACAATCTATAATAGGGGATACAGTGTGGTGTTTTTTACATTTGATCATTTGACTGTTTGATGTATTTATCTTTATGAATTTCAGCACCTTATGAATCTTTTTGAATTCTTTGCATCGTTTTATAGGTGCATTTTTTGGAGTACTAATGGATTTATCACTAGGACATATAGCACTTAGACACGACTGTTTGCCGCTGACCATTTGGCGGTGTTGATTTAAATCAGGGGGGGAGATAGTGCGGTGTTTGATTGTTAGCAGGATTCCTTCATCCACACTCATAAGCAACGATTGAGGATTCTGTTATATTTTCTTCGTTCAGCCTGCAGGTTGAACAAAGAAAATATAACCGTGTAAACAAAGCTTAAGTTTCAGTGTAAACTGCACTGCTTAGGGATGTTCTAATTTACTATGCACATTTAGTGAAGTGCTGTTTGTGTGAGAAAAAGGGAACAATATTCAGAGGTATATAGTAAAAGAATATATTAGTGAAGAAACTTACTTGAAATTTTTTTCTAAATTCTTGCTCCTGTTTTTGTTTTTTTTTCAGGTTTGTGTCATTCCTCCAGTTAGTAATTAAAACATTCTGCTCCACTGGACTGCTTAAACAGAAAAGAACATATGCATTTGTTCAAATAATACATGGAAAGAAAAAAACATTCTTGGCAGTGTCCAAAATTACAGGCCCAGAAAAAACTTGCAGCCTTTGCATTAATTACTCTTTTACTAGTTTTTCTTTTTTTTCAATGTCTTTATTGAAAAGTAGAATACAACGTACACAAGTACACAGAAAGTACAATAACGTCTCAATGATTTGTTACAGTAATATACAGCAAGTCAGAGACATTGCAGCCATCGTACAACTGTACGTAAGAATATTTCTCAATCCAAACATCAACTCAGTGGCGGTCTGCCTCATCACTTACACTGAACAATGCACTAATAATATGGGGGTAAGAGCATGTGCAACCCCTTTCATGTCGTCCGATTGTATATTGCTATTCAGCAAGGAGGACATAAAGTTGCGCTTCGAGGGCAGGAGGGGGGGCACACGTCCGCACCTTCCGAATACGTGAGTTGTCGTAGTTTGAAGGATGGATTGCAAATACAGGTGGGATGGAGTAAGGTGGAGAATGGAAAGTGGAGAGAAAAAGCAGTGGAAGGGGGTGAACAGCATGAAGAAGGATAAGAGTGACATACAGGTGTTTAGGTAGAGAACAGGATAGGGAAAGGGCAAGTGAAAGGACAAGATACAGAGGTATACAGGACAAAGGTTATTTAGCGGAAGCTGGGTGTTCTCTCCGGCCCGTCACCTTTTAATACCTGCCCGGGGGGTGCCGCCGGCGAGGTGCAGCTAAACTCAGCCATTTCACGGGAATAGACCTCTGAATCTTGAAAGGCTAACCAGGGGGCTCCAGGTGGACCCGAACTTCCCCTCCGTGTTTTTAAGAGTGGAGGAGAGGCCCTCCATATGGTAAATGCAGTCAACTTTAGTAATCCACATACGGAGGGGGGAGCGTTTCCATAGTAAAAGGGATACAAGCAGGGGCAGCATTCAGTAAATGCACAGCCAAGGATACTAAGAGACCACTCCGAAAGGTGTGGCAAGCATGCCACTGGGTTGTTTTTTAGATTAAGCATGGTCAGTTTTTCAATGATCTCTAGGACCTGGTCCCAAAAGGGGCATAGTTTCGAACACGTCCAGAAAATATGAAACAGTGTACCAGGGAGGGATTGGCAACACCAACAAAGGGGTGAGACCCGGGGGAACATGGAGTGTAGTAAGGTTGGTACCTTGTAACACCTAGGTACAACCTTATAGCTCCTGGATTTTGCAGGCAATGGAGGACTTGTGGGCCAGAGAACATATTGAAATCTTTTTGGGCTTGGGTAAACTGCATATCAAGGTCCATTTCCCATTTGGCCAGGAAACCAGGTCCCGATGTAGAAGTGGGTCCCGCTAGGGTAGATTAAATAAAGGAAACTACATGTCGTACCTGCGAGCCGGCTCGACTGTGCCATGGGGCGCTAGGGGATCTAGGGTAACGGGGATGGAGCATAAGAAATGTCGGATTTGGAGCACGCTCCAGTGATCTGAGGGAAGGCCAACTGAAGCTCTTATTTCATCAACGGAAAGCCAGCGGTCCCTTGTGCGGAAGTTACTAGCCCAAAAAATCCCCTGTCCATAAAGTCAACTCAGCCTGCCCCCCTTCATACCCAGTGCACTTTTACTAGTTTTAAAGAGGAAGTATGGTAGTTTTCTCTTTTTTTTTTTTAAAGAAAGAAAAAAAGATGATCTTTTAAACAATTGTATTCATATGTGTGTTAAAAAAACTTGTTCCTGTTTATAATTATAATTACTCATGTATATGAGAACAGTCATATTTTCTTATTACATATGCTGGCTCTGCTTCCTGCTTTTCAATGCTATGCGATTGTTTTTCTTTACTGCTCCTCCTTTCAGGGCTTGGAAGAATACGAATAGGCTGAACAAAGCTGTTAACCCTTTAAGGATCAAGGCCTTTTTTTTTCATTTTTTGCACCCATGTTATAATCCACATTTTAGGCCTGGAAATTATTTAAAACCCCCAAACGTTATGTATTTTCCGAAAGCCAAGACCCTTTAGAATAAAATGGTGGCAGTTGCAAATTTTTTTCCAAGTAAAATTTTTATTGAAGCAAATAGTAAAGTAGTTACAAGGCGAAACGTGTAATATGCACAGTGCTTCAATGCAGTTTACAATATTACATACATGGATCTGATCCTGGAATATAGGAATGGCTACCATGGCAGATTAACCAGTAGACAAGTTAAGCGTCAGACTGCACTCTTCTCAATGATACAGGGAATGTGTCACCGGTGGGTTTCTTATCCTGTGAGAGTCCAGGCTATGTTAGAGAGAGCTTGATGGTAATGGTGCAGAGTATAATTACAAGGGGAGTATGGTGTTTAGGTGTGGTAGTTAGAAAAGGCATTTCAGGATCCGACGCATTCGTTCACAGTAGTACAAATGGTGGTATGGGGGAGGGAAAAAGAGCTTCAAGAGGTGGGGGAAAAGACGGGTGGAAAAAGAAAAGGAAGGGGCGGGGATAATCTGGCTGTGGATGAGGGGGGGGGGTTAAAGATTATGAGATAAATAGGGGGTCTCCCCTCACAAGGTAAGAAGGTGGTGATCTATGCTAGAGGGGCATGAATCTTTCGATCCAGGGGGACCATATTTTCTCATACTTCTGCATGGTGTTTTCCACTTGTGCTGTCCGCTTCTCATGTGACATTGTCCAGTTCACATGTCGTTTGAGGTTAGAAATGCTATGTGTATTAGCCAAGATTTGGCTATTTCTCGTTTAGCCGCTGTTAGGACATGGAGGCTCAATTTGAAAGCTGATACAGGGAGACCCACCGGTTTGCAATTAAGAAGGGCGAAAGTGGGATCTTTACTCATGGTTCGTTGAAATAAGGATGAACGTATGTGGAACACACGGTCCCAATACTTAGCGACTTTCGGGCACTGCAACCATATGTGGTAGAAGGTTCCCAGGTCCAGGCATCCCCCGTAAACATAGCGGAGAAGAGTGTGGTTGAAATTTCGCAATCCTCACAGGTACCATGTAACATCGCATTAACACTTTATAATTGATCGCCAACATACTGACACAGCGTGAACTAGATTTTGTGTTGAGCCATGATTGCTGCCACATGTCATTCTCCAGAGGGGACCCTAAATCTTGCTCCCAGTGGAGTGTGTAGGATGGGGTAGATTGGGTAGGGGATAACAGTAGGTGATTGTAAAGTGTGGAGATGATACCAGGGGCATGGGGATTGTCTTGGCAGATCCTTTCGAATGGACTTAGTAGTTGGGGTGGGGACGAGTGTCGCATGTGAGTGAGAATGAAGTTCTTAATTTGAAGGTATCGAAAGAGTTCTTTAGTAGGTTGTAGTGTTCCTGTAGATATGGGAAAGGTTTCACACCCGTAAGGGTTTGGAGTTTCCTAAAATGTGTAAGGCCTTTGTCAGACCAGGTTTGCAAGCTAGAGGGGTTAGAAGTGGCTGGTGGGAAAGTGGGGTTCCGCAGATAAGATAGTAGTGGCAATTGTGGGGAGGTTAGATTCATGTTTTTATTAGGGAATCCCAAAGACGGAGTGAAGAGGAGGTGATGGGGTTTAGTGGGGAGGGTCTCTTTTGAGGTTGTTGCCAAAGAAGGTTTCCTGTCTAAGTGTGGGGATGGAAAGAGTCCTCAGGCAACACCCAACATGGGATTTTCTTTCTCTGCGTGGTTTTTGGCTAGTTGTCCTATTTGAGCTGCCTGGTAGTATTTCAGGAAATTAGGGACACCTAGCCCACCTCGTTTTTTCAGCAAGTAAATTGTGTTGCGGGGTATCCTAGGAGGTCTATCATTCCATATGAATTGCATTACTTTAGATTGTAGTGTGCGAAGTACCAAAGTGGGAACTGTCACGGGTAGAACCCTGAATAGATATAGAATTTTATGTAGAAAGGACATTTTTATGGCCGCTATTCTGCCTAGCCAAGATAGTTGGTATCTAGACCACGTTCTGAGTAGGTTCATCAGTTTGTTTATCAGGGCTGGGTAGTTGCCTCTATAGAGTGTGGGGTAAGATGAGGTTAGGTGTATTCCTAGGTAGGGGAGTGTGGCATCAGACCAGCGGTATGGGAAGCTCGTTTTCAGGGTCTCAACCAACTGGGTTGGGAGAGATATGTTAAGAGCAGTAGATTTGAAGTCATTGACACAAAGTCCCGATATGGAGGCAAATTGAGTAAGGGTATGTTTAAGATTAGGGAGAGAGATAATAGGGTTGCTGATGGTAAGGAGGGCATCATCTGCAAATAAACAAATTTTATGGGTGGTACCAGCGTTAGATATTCCAGTGATGTCAGGGAAAGAACACATGTTGCAGGCCAGAGGTTCTAGGATTAAGGCAAAAAGTAGTGGTGATAGGGGACTGCCTTGTCTGGTACCTCCTAAGGATATCAAATGTCGGTGAGTGATAACCCGAATACGTTACATGTGCTGTGGGTTTGTTGTAGAGTGACGTTATCCATGTGAGAAAGTGGCAGCCAAAGCCCCATCGTCAGAGTGTGGTGAAGAGGTAGGGCCAGGACACTTTGTCAAAGGCTTTTTTGATGTCTAAGGACAAGAGCATTGCGGGAGTGTTTTGAGCCCTGGCGATGTGGGTAAGCAGGGTTATCCTGCGGACGTTATCCCCTGCCTGTCTACTGGGTATAAAACCAACCTGGTCTTGTGTCACCAGTTGTCCAATCACTTGATTCAGTCTGTTTGCCAAAACTTTAGCGAGTCGTTTTACATCTACATTCAATAGGGATATAGGTCTAAAGTTTGAGCATTCAGAGTTGTCTGTGTTTGGTTTGGGTATCATGCAGATGGATGCTGGGAGGTAATCTCGGTTTAGGGTACCACCAGATCTGATAAAATTGAAAGAGGCGGTTAGAAGGGGTGCAAGTTGTTCTTTAAAGGTGCTATAATAGGCTACTGTGAAGCAGTCTGGGCCTGGTCCCTTCCCTTTAGAAAGGGAGCTAATGGCGAAAAGGATTTCCCGATCTGTGATCGGGTCCTCAAGGGCT